GAAAGCGATTAGCATCAGCTGTGTTAAATATATTGCTCTGTTATAGTTTAGCAATTACAGTTGCGCCAATTATGGAAGGCAAATTAAATTGCTATTGAATAGTAAATATTCATTACACTTTCAAAGCTGGGTTAAAAAATTAAGATTAAATAATCGTCTCCTGAAGATGAACGATCATATGAAAAAAGTTTTATTTGTATTCTAGCCCTCTGACTGCACGGTGTTTCACTAATGAAGAAGAAATTTCCCAAAACGGCCATGATAAAGAGTTATGAATGATTTTAATACCAAAATGCCCCTGCTACTTTATATCTGAAACAATGAACCTATAATATATTAGCATAATTTCTTGGAAATTTTTCAAAATGCACGGTTATATGCTTTTTTATAGACGTCATAAACAATATTCTGAGTCATACACCTTTGCCGGTCAAAGGGCTAGAAAAATGACCCATAAAAATGATTTTACTTAAATTTATTATTTTCTAAAAGTCAGCCATAACTACTTAGCAATTAATCATGTAATGTTTTTGTAGAGAACATTCCATAATTCCACAGTACTGTTGGGCCCACCAGCTGCCAAGCGATAAAATAGCTGAATGCTGGTAGTTCCAACATGGGCTCGAATCCAGGCGAATGGGCTGGCTGCATGGGCCAATTTCGCGGGTTTTTTCCATGTGTAACCTGTATACGAGCCAGTTTTCCTTAGAGAGTAATCCACAAAGGCATCCCTTCCCTTAGGCTGATAGCCCTAGTGCGCTTTGCCATACAAAATTAAACCGAAGCCACAGTAAAATAAAAAATAAGTAATATTTTAAAATCTCCCTCTTTGAATTATATACTGATGTAAGGGTTTTTATTATTGTTTTGAATCATGGAAAAACATACGGGGGCAATGGAAAAGGAGAACTTAAAGGAAACAGGTTCGTATTCACATTGCACATAAAAAACCACAAAAATTCCCATAAGCTATTAAAAATTTACTCTTATTGCTTTTGATTTACTCGATTGATTAAGCAACTGTGATTGTAATTTATATTACAGATAATTTCTCCCGAGAAATTTTGTCACTCTTTTACAGTTCTCATGGGCCTCAACGTTCGAAATTTATGATTTTTCTCTGAACAAACTATTGATATTTTGCAGTTTGAGGTTGCAAATCATGAACAGACGAATACATTCAATATTTCATTGTCTTCACTGTTTTGTAGTCCTTAAGATGCAATATTCTGCCATTTTTAAATTCTGGGCTAACTTTATAGAATGAAAACGTTTGCTGTTTTGAAATAGAGGATGCCTTTCCGCTCCATGGGAAAAAAAATCACATGGTGAGAAGATAAAGATTCACAAAGGATATTCTTTGAAACGTAGGAAAATGGAAAAAAAAAATCAAGTTTTCTGCAGATACATACAATGGGATCTTGATGTTTCATCAACCACGAGAACGTCATTATGATAGATAAGACAACAGACGAATGAAGAAATTCCTGCTACTAGCTCTATTGCCAAATACAAAGAGTTAATTAACTTGGATCCATTTTTATAACACATTGCACAGAAAAGATAAAAAGCTGATTCATGATGATTTTCAGTAAAAGCCGAAATTGGTTGCATTATGGCTTTTAACTTTCTTACTGCCTATACAGAAAAAATATAACATTTGGTTCTAAAAGGCTACAGTCTCAAATGTGATAAATTGAAAAATGTCTTTCATTTTCTTACAATTTTTTAATTTCCAGCTTAATTTAAAATTAAATGAATTGGTACTGCATTTTTTCTGTAGTAACAGACAAAACGTATGTATAAAATGACTAAACATCCAATGTATCGAGATAATTCCTTGTTATTTCAGCTATTGTGTAGTTAAGATAGTAACAAGGAACTAAAATTTATATGTATCTGAATGCATTATTAAGCAAATGAATCCACAGAGTTTTTCTTCATACATAACAAGATATCCTGTGATTATGGATATGATTGAAAACTTTTTCGTCAATACAATGTTTTAATCTTTAAAATAGTATTTTAGTCTTTTATTCCAAATACAGAGACACAACACTTATAAAATATTTTCCTCTTTCTTTCTGGTGTACCGGTAGCACATTCGGAGCATATTCGAGAGGTCCAGGTTCTCCCTCCTTCCGGCATGCCTTCATGGTGTAATGGTAGCACACTCGGAGCGTATTCGAGAGTCCAGGTTCTAGTCCCGGGTAAGGCATTGTTCATTTTTAACAACTCCTGCTTAAAAAAAAAAAACTCGTTGCCATTCATAAACTCAGTAAAAAACCCGCTAGAAAACGAAAATTATTAAAACATGGAGTATTACAATTATTAAAATATGGACTTCTACATACCTACTGAAGTGTAAAAAAAGGCTAAAGTAAACAGCTATGGCCAGTAAGGGTAAAGCTTGCTGCATTTATGCTAAACGTAATTCAACAACAACAAAAAAAAAAAAAAAAAAAAAAAAAAAAAAAAAAAAAAATCAAGTATGAATTATAGGAAGTTCTCGAAGAAGAAGGTTGAAAATCTATACATTGTACAAGAAGGATGAATCTAAGATCGCAACATATAATAGCTGAAGGTTGTTGAACAGAACCGGAAAGATATTGAAACGTATAAGATTGCCAAAGACGGGTAATGTTGTTTATTTCCTGCGTCTTTTAGATTAGGGGTCTTCAACCCTTCACTCCCGAGGTCCACATCAATAAATTCACAAAGCTCAGAAAATTTATATAAAAAAGGGAGGTTGGTTCTGCAAGACTACACTTGATTCTAAGCGCAGAGGTAGTGTTACAATTGTATATACAGAGGCTGTTCGCACATTTTTTAGACGATTTTGGTAAAGCGGTAATAAAAACTCGTTTGCTGCAAAAGAAGTAATTGCAATTGTACTATGTTTTTAAAAGTCAAAATTATCGTCTGTGGCTTGAAAGTTTTGTTTTTATTCAAAATGGCGAATTTAACAAAGCAGTGGCTCGAAGGCTACATTTACGCTCTTTCCGAAGAGAAATATGCATACTCCGTTATCCAAAAACGATGTGAGAGTCATGGTTTTGTGATATCTAAAGGGTCGATAGGTAATATTATCAACAAGAAAGGAAAAACGTCAAATTGGAGCCTCAAGTGGGACAAAAATTCCAAACAAGTATCCAAGGAAAAAACGGACATCTTTCGACTATTGCAAAGGTACGTTGTTTAATGTTAAAGAAAATCCCCCTTGTGAAAGGACAGTTGCAAAATCATTAAAATGCTCGGTGTCCACTGTAAACAAAATGATGAACGTTGATTTAAATCTTAAGAAAGAGAAAAAACGCAATGTGCTTCGTCTTCTTCCAAAGCATATCGCTCAACGCAAGACAAGCTGCAGAATTCTATATGAGAGAAACACTTATCCAAAGAAAAATGGAAAACAATTGTCACAATAGATGAAGCATGGGTGTATTTAAATGATTGTAACAAAAAAAGAACCATTTATTGTCATATAAGGGGAGAAAAAAATTAAGTACATGGTTCAAAGAATCGAAAGAACGTTTTTCTAAGGGATTCATGATTGTTGCTGGGTTTTTTTATAATGGCAAGTTAAAAATAAAGAGAGTGCAAAAAAAATGTCAAGATTAACTCCAAATACTATCAGTAACATATTATCGCCAATTTTTCTGAATGAAATACCATCGCTTTACCCACAGCGCCATCAATCTGTGAGACTCCATCAGGACAAAGCTAGCAGTCACACATCAAAATCCACTGTAAATTTCCTAAAAGAAATGGAACAAAAACCTGGTATTATAGCAATTTGACTAAGGGTAGAAAGAGCAATAATTTTTTTATATCTTGTTCTCAATTAGCTGATAAGCCAGCAATAAGAATAGTAATAGTAGAAATTGATATAATAATTAAGAGAGATACCGGATGAGGGTTATTTATAATACGAATAAGTAAATAAATTCCTGCGGTTACTAGAGTTGAAGAATGAACTAAAGCTGAAATAGGTGTTGGTGCTGCTATAGCTTCAGGGAGTCATGCGGAGAAAGGAAATTGTGCTCTTTTTGAGCAAGCTGCAATAATTAAAAATATTAAGATTAATAATGAAAATTCACTGATATCCCTACTAAATCTCCCGATGTGTCACCTATGGATTTTTGTGCTTTCGGAATTTTAAAAACTGCATTATCCAAACGTTGTCCTAACAGGACTCTGGAAAGCTGTCCGGGAGGAATGGGATAGAATACCCCTTCTGCCACTTCAAAAGGCATTATTATCCTGGAAATTGCGGTGTCGAAAGATAGTTCAGAATACGGGATGTCAAATAGAACATTTAAAACACAAGAATTTTGTGTAATTTAGTTTTGTGAATACAATATACATCGTCTAAAAAATGTGTGAACAGCCTCTGTATATACATTGGTTCCAAAAAGTGAAATGGAAATCGAATTAAAATGTTTTGCAACTTTCTTTAACGATGGAAAAAAAGTGTATAAAAATGACTGCACAGAACGATGTTACAAAATTCATTTACATTAAAAAAAGAAAAAACTTACGTTACTGGCGAGAGATGGTAGTTACTTTAGTTTTAACGTGAAATTTGACGGTGTTTTTGCTTGACTAAAGCTTCAATATCCGGTTTAATCTGTATTATTTCAATTCGTAAAGTTTCCTCCAAATGTCTGTCTGTCAGCCATGTTCTTGTTTTTGATTTTTAAGATTTTCACTGAAAACGCTGTTCACATATGTAGGTATTGCCAAAAATAGAAGACATGATGAATGCATGTTTAGGAATTCCTGAATACTTGTCTTCGGTCACGTACTTCGAAAAAAATCAATTAATGTAGGATTTTCAAGAAACTTGCATTTTACTGCATAATCACACTGTAAATCTATAAATTCGAATTGAAGTTCAGGTGGAACACTTCCAACGTCTACTGAAAATGGCAAGGAGACCATTCTCATAAAAATTTCATTTCCATGAAAATCGGAAAATCTGCTTTTGAATTCCTCTTTCAAATTTGAAATGCCTTGTACTCATTTTCTTGGTAGATGATGCATTGGAAAGTCATCACAGTATTATTTCCACTTGCCTTCACATCAGATTTGAGTAATGTTGTTACTCCTATTTTCTCTCCATTCATAGATTTAGCACCATCCGTGGTTATAGCAGATACATTACTGAAGGCTAACTCACATTTGTCCAAAGTTTGTGTCAGACTCGAATACAAATCTGTCCCTTGTGTTGTACCTTTAAGTGCAACGACATTGACTAATTCCTCTACAATTGTGAAGTCTTGTGCAGTATCTGTTGCGTCCGTTGATTCATCCATCGCTACAGAATAAAACTCAAATTTTTTGCATTTGGATTTTAATTTACTGAATATACCTGTTGCGAGATCTTCTATGCGTCTCGCTACTGTTACACCAGACAAGCTAATATTCGATATGACTTTGTGATGGACAGCACATCACTGCACCTGAAGAATTCTTTAAAATTCTCCTCCAAGTTTTCCTCTTACAATTTTTTCTGCTCAAGACTACATGACATATTCAGATCTTTTTCGTGTGGTAAGAAATGCTGAATTAGTTTTTTAATATGCTATGAATTAGCCCAGCCTCAGTTATTTTTCTTTTCATAGTTTATCACTGTAAGAGTGGCAACCATCTGATTTTGTTGTAGTTTCTTGTAGTTCTACGGATTTTGAAAATAAATATGACGCTGTAGAATTTTATATGTAAAGTTATTTTATTTTAAGTTTATTAGGAGAAAGGAGAACGGTTAGTTCTTGCAAATCTCGAACAATTTTGGTGACGACGGAAGTGATCGGTAAAACAAGTCAAGGTAATTTTATTGGTTTTATCGAATTTAATTCTATTTGACTTTATTGAATTTATTTTTATTGAAATGGAATCGTTAATTGAGAAACGAAAACCTGTCAGAGCGTCTTTTACGAGAACAATTAGTGCAATTTTGCAGGAATTAGAAAAGGAAATTCCTGATGAAGAATTTATAAAAACGAAACTTGTTACTTTAGAACGTTTATCTGTTGAACTTAATGCATTTGATACTCAAATATTAAATTCAGAATTGTCTTTAAATGATCAGTTTGAAAATGAATGGGCGAAAGTTGAAGAATACAAAGAAAAATTAGATTTAATGCGAGTAAAAACGGAATTATTCTTCAATCGCCAAACGACACTATCCATTAGCAGTGTTCCGCCGAATTCGAACAGACGGAAACTGAAATTACCTAAAATAGAGTTAAAAAAATTCGGTGGCGAAATTAAAGATTGGTTACTGTTTTGGGGCGCAAATTCGGCGAATACGTGAAGATAAAGAAATTCAAAACGAGGATAAGATGCATTATCTCGTTCAAGCGACCGTACCCGGTACGAGAACCCGTGATATTGTAAATAGCTTCCCTGCAACTGCCGAAAATTATGAAAAAGTTATAGAAAGCTTAAAAAATAGGTTTGGCAGGGAAGAATTGTTGGTAGAATTCTATATTCGGGAATTATTAGGTTTGATTATTAAAAATGTCACTGATCAAAAGGGAAAATGCAGTATATCTGAATTGTATGACAAATTAGACTCGTATTTACGTTCGTTGGAGTCAATAGGAATGACAAGCGATAAATACGCTGCAATGCTGTTTCCGTTCGTGGAATCTTGCATTCCCGAGGAAATTTTACGAGTTTGGATTAGAAATTATGCATCAATAATTACAGCAGAAAATTCTCACTCTGAGAAATTGAAACAATTATTATTGTTTTTAAAGAATGAAGTGGAAGGAGAGCAGAGAATTTCTTTGGCAAAAGCTGGATTTAAATTAATTGATTCGGGTGCCAAGAGAGAAAGTAGAAAAGATAAAAGGTACCAGAGTGAACATTTCGTGCCTACAGCAAATGATTTATTCTCAGGCCAAAATAAAGCAACCAATTATAGTGAGAAGAATTCTTGCATATTTTGTGAAAAATTTCATGAAAGTCGAGATTGCTTTGTTGCTCAGAAGATGCCTCTGAGTCAAAAGAATGATGAAATTAAGAAAAAGAAGGGTTGCTTCTTCTGCCTCAAAATTGGACACAGGGCCAAGCAATGCAAGACAAATGTACGATGTTTGATATGCTCGAAAAGACATTGGGGTGTCATGTGTCCGGATTTGCCCACCAATCAAAAGAGCAATGATGTTGAAAAGAATAAAGAAGAGGAAACACAAAACGTATCACTTGCGAGCACTAATTTCCTAGATGAAGTGTTTCTTCAAACACTATTAATTAATATAGACGCAAACAAAAAGCAGAAGACAGTAAGGGCACTTATCGATACAGGATCGCAACGTTCATACATATTAAAGGAGACTGCTGTAGACATAGGGTGCCACGCAATTGGATCTGAATCTTTAATCCATGCACTTTTTGGAGGAGTAACAACAAAGAGAGAAATTCACAAACGCTATGAAGTGAACGTTAGAAGCCTAAGAGGTGATTTTTCTAGACGACTAATCTTGTTGGAACAGTCGAAGATTTGTGGACCAGTAGTCAGTTTACAGCCTGGACCATGGATAGAAGAACTAAGACAGAAGAATATCCATGCATCTGATGTAGGAAAAAAGGATTTGAAAATAGAAGTTCTTATTGGAGCTGACGTCGCAGGTGTTCTGTTAACCGGAAGAATTCAGAAATTAGAAAATGGGCTGACTGCTGTGGAATCACTACTTGGATGGACAATCATGGGAAAGATAAAAGATAACGTTTCAGAAAGAAACTCCTTGTCCATGTCTTCAACCATAACGTCGATGTTGACTCACAGCAGTGACATAGAAAACTTGTGGAAGCTAGAAGCACTGGGAATTACAGATGCCAAAGAAAGTAAAACTGACTCAGAGTTAGAAGAAGCAGTGTGGGATCACTTTCACAAGACTCTGAAGAGGGTGGATGATCGCTATGAAGTCAGTTTACCTTGGATCAACGATAAAGAAGCTTTACCAAGTAACAGAGAAGTTGCTGAAAAGCGATTGATTTCCACGACAAAGAAGCTCATGTTGAAAGATAAATTTGAAACATACAATGCAGTGTTCGAAGAATGGCTCGAATCTGGAGTAATAGAAGAAGTAACAGAAGAAGAGGAACGAGTTAACAATCATTATCTTCCCCACAGACCGGTCTTCAAAGATAACTGTACAACAGCAGTAAGGCCTGTATTTGACGCTTCGTGCAAGCAAAAAGATTTCCTGTCACTTAATGACTGTTTAGCAAAAGGTCAAAATTTAATTGAATTAATACCTAGATTGCTTCTTGAATTTAGGCAAGGAAAAATAGGGATTATCTCAGATATTAAAAGAGCTTTTTTCTTCAAATATCTGTTCAAAGATCTGATCGTGATTTCCTAAGATTCCTATGGTGGAAAAACTCGGAACAAAAGGAAATAAGAAAATTTCGCCATTGCAGAGTAGTCTTCGGACTAAAATGCAGTCCGTTTCTTTTAGGAGCAGTGATCAACTCTCATTTAGACCAATGTGAACCTTCTTTGAAGGAAGTGGCTACAAAATTGAAAAATTCCTTCTATGTTGACAACTGTGTCACTTCAGTGAATTCGAATGAAGAAGCAGAATACTTTATTGCAAAATCAACTCAGTTAATGGCAAGTGCTAACTTTGACTTAAGAGGGTGGGAGCAAACAGAACTGAACAGTGGAAAATCTACAATGAGCGAACCATTGAAAGTACTTGGTCTTCTGTGGGATAAATATGAAGATTCTTTGTTTTGTGACATCCCTAATATCAACTTGATTGATCTCTCAGTGACAAGACGAAACGTTCTATCGATTGTACAGAGAGTTTTTGACCCAATAGGTTTCACATGCCCTTTTACTCTCCTTCCAAAGTTATACTTGCAAAAGAGCTGGGAAACTAAATTGAGCTGGGATGCAGAGCTACCTGAAGATATTAAAAGAAAATTCTTGAAGTGGGTCAAAGAATTGCCCTTGTTATCCTCTGTGAAGATTCCCAGACTACTTTCATTGACAGAAGGACAATCTTTTAGTTTGCATACGTTTGCCGATGCTTCACAGGGATCTTATGCAAGTGCAGTATATTTGAGAAGTCAAAATAAAGAAGTCAAAGTGACCCTAGTGCAAGCCAAAGCACGAGTGGCTCCCTTGAAAAAAATAAGTATACCACGACTTGAATTGCTTGCTTGTCTTATTGGGGTGCGATTAGCATCATTTGTCAAGAAGAACCTTAAGGTCGAAATTTCAAAGGAATATTACTGGACCGATTCGTCAACAGCACTGTTCTGGATAAAGAACGTAGAAGTTTGGAGCACTTTTGTGAATAACAGAGTTTCAGAAATTAGAATCCTATCGGATCGTGAAAATTGGCATCATGAACCAGGTGCGGAAAACTCAGCCGATATGCCATCAAGGATGCTCTGTGAAGAAACTCATTGAATCAAGATGGTGGGAGGGCCCACCTTGGTTGGCACCGCTGGAAGAAGAATGGCCTCATTCTATCCCAATCGATAATAAAGAAGAGGTTAATACTGAAAAACGTAAAGCAGTTATAGTTTCGTTAAGCAATGTTAGCGATATGTCTTCACAATTCTTTGGCTATTTTTCAAAGTATAAGAAAATACTTAGAATGATTGGGTGGATACACAGATTCATAGGAAATACCCGAAAGAGGAAAGAAGAAAGAGAATCAGGAGAGTTAAAAGTTTATGAATTGATAAGGGCTGAGAAATCTATCGTGAAGATTATTCAACATGATTCTTTTTCATCTGATGATATTAAGAAGCTGAAGTCAATAAGTGTGTTCAAAGATGACGAAGGCATTTTACGTGTCAGGTCTAGGTTGACTGAAAGGAAAGACCATGAAAATTTTATTTATCCGATGTTACTTCCGAAGAATCATAAGATTGTGGAGAAATTGATAATTGATAAACATCTCTCTATGTCTCATGCAGGAATTCACGTACTGATGTCAAACACTTAGAGAGACGTTTTGGATCCTGAAAAGTAGAGCTACGATTCGAAAAGCTTTATATGCATGTGTCAGGTGCAGGAGACATGGAGGTAAACGACTACAGACTGTGCCTGCTACTCTACCAGAAAACAGAGTTAGAGAGGCTCGTGTTTTCGAGATTGTCGGCGTTGATTTAGCTGGCCCATTAATTTTGAAGGATAAAAGAAAAGCTTGGATTTTACTTTTCACATGTGCTGTTTTCAGGGCGGTCCATTTGGAACTGATTTTGTCCCTTTCAACTCAAGGATTTTTACTTGGTCTTAGAAGATTTATTGCCCGTAGAGGGAGGCCATCGATAATTTATAGCG